GTGAAAATGTTTTGGCACCAAAAGGCTGTACTTTTAAGTACCACAAAATTGCAAACCTTCTTTAGTAAACTGAAATTTTCTTGATGACGCAAGACGGTTTAATATGTTGACAGCTACAGTGGTTGTATATATTCATGTGTGAAAGTGTTTATATTTACAGCGTAAGAACAAGTCTTTTTATCAGAAGTTTCAGAATTGTCTTTCTTATGTGAAACCTACTTTTCATTCTTTGTCATCTTTCGAAGAAAGATTATTGGTATAATTCGGTGTTACGGACAGTTTTTAGTGTTACTTGTTTTATAGTAGCTAGGAATCTTTGGTGATTATCGAGATGCTGTAACAGTATTTGTATTATTTTACTATGTTCCTATTGTATGGTGCTGCTCTGGCAGCTAATAATGCAGTAATTTTAATACTCGTATTTCTTTCTCTTTATTTACATGTGCAAAAAGGCTTCACTTTATTGAAAGAGGTTCTTGACAAAATATTACTTCTTTGTTTAACAGAACTTATCGTTTTCAGACTCACTTAATAATGGTCTGAAAAAAACACATTTCTGGTCGAAAACTTTTTAGTACAAAGTATACTAGAAATTAAAGTTCCGAGAAGTGTTGAATTTGTTGCTGCTGGACAAGTACCAGGTAACGATAATTTGGTTATTGGCCAGTAGTGGTTTCGTGATGGAGAAAAAAGCATGCCTCTGGGCAGACTAGTTTTTCTGCAGTAATTTAGCTACTAAAGTGGACAGTAGGAGGGACGAGAGTTGGTATGTACTTATTTTTTACTAAAAACGGTTTGTCGACTTGTTCAACTGTCTTATTTTTTTTGTCGGACGTCTTTATTTTAAGTCGCCCATCTGTATCCGCAATAGTACTGCAAGAAGCGTGAGCGGTGTTGAGCAAAAGGATATTATGCAGAAGGGAATTTTTTTTATTAGTAGTCTGTTCTGGCCAATTTTCTTTTTTTTTGTTGTTGAATTTGTCTAGAGGAGGATCGTTTAGCAGGAGGTCATGCGTTTTTGTGTGAATAGGGTAAATTTTCGTTGTAGAGATGCTTGAAGGGACCGGGGGCTTCATAAATTTAAAGCACATTTTTTGTAGTAACACACCAACAGTGGATAACATAGAATACGATTCTGAAGTATGGAAAAGGGAAAATTTGACGGAGATGACTAGTTATATTTTTTTATTCTTTAATTAGCCATAAAACAGCAAGTTGCTGGGGATTTTTTGTTAAATTTGTCCAAAGCAGTATTATTAAACAGTAGGTGCACACTCTTCCTTGCAGATAGGTTGAATTTTTATTTCAGTGATGCCTGAAGAGAACGCTCACTAAAACACGTGTTCCATCTAAATTCGATATTTGGGACATGTGAATCAAGATGAAACTACATTCCTTAAACTTATATACTTATAATAGTTCCGAAGATGCTGTGGAAGCATGCTTCTGATGTTGTTCGCAAACCTGATTAAATCCTCCACCAAACTACCTTGAACGGAGTTTAGCCAGATTAACATATATTGCGGAGCAAAGAGCAGATGTCGTGTGCAATGCGGGCTTCTCGTATCTGTATTGGCTAAGAAGATTAGGACTGGATCTGCAAAAATAAGTTTTCTATCCCGTTGAAAAAGGATGTTTACCAGCAGTCACGCTGTCTTTATTCTCTTGTTTCTGTTGCGCTAACGATTATGATTCCGTAGAACTCTGCATTCCAGTGGAGGATCACTACTTGACAACAATGGATGATAAGGTAGCCTTCATATTTTATTTGTCTTTATGGGCGTTCCTTCTCATTTCTTGATGTTGGTGTTGCAGGGCTTTGAATGATATTTACAGTGTTGATTAGGTGAGTTTTGTAACCCGAGAGGTAAATTATAAGAAGCTTACATGACAAAAAAAAAAGGATAACTAATTTGCTTTTTTCGGTAGGATAATGGAACGATTAACAGCGCGGGTGACTGGTGGGGGGAAAGGGAAAACCGACAGCAGGATGGGGAACTTTGACACGGTTTATGCTTTGACAATAGGCCGGAAGGTTTGAAGATGTTAAAGACTACTGTAATAGTTAGTTCAGACAATCTCAGGATACTGTTCATTTGATAATAGCAACTAATCTTTGAATCAATATCGAGAATAAATCTGCTTTTTTTAAAATCACTGTTAAGGAAGACTGAGCGTTGGGCATTGTAGTTTAGGTTGTATAGGCTCATTAGATTCGTATCAAAAGGTAGAGAGGAAATTGACAGTTTTTCCAATTATTAAACTTAGTTAAAAGATTATCTTTTTGTTCATTGAAGCCGCTTATAACAATTTATTATTGCTTCTGGATGCTTTTAATTTGAATACTTTTCTTTTTCTGTTTCTCTTTTGAGTTTCTTCCCAGCAGCTTTGATTTCTTTCTCCTTCTATCCCAGAATTAATTAAAGGACCCTTTTTTGAATCTTTAAAAAACGATACTGAATCAGGTTCTAAAACCAAATTGCTCTTTATTTATGCTACTGATTGTTTCTGTACGTTTACTCAATCACTGTTTCTAATGAATAACATTTTGAAGAGAGAAGTTAGGAATTAGCTTTTTAGTGTTTTTCAACAAATAATTTAAAAAATTGCTTCTTTTTAAAGTTAGTTATCTGCTGTCTTACGTCGCTAACTCAATAGTAACTGGTGCAAATCATTCGCGTTGGAAATGTAGAACAATCAAAAATGAGTAACAGTTGTTCGTAAAAGTTGTATAGTATGAGAAGCGATGTTAGATTAAAGAGTACACCACTCTTTTAACTTTCTTACAAAGAGTTTGAGGTTTTGCCTGGAAAAAGTAGCCGTCTGAGCTGACTGTTTTTGTTCCTCTTGTCAGGAAAAGTGATAGCCACTATTTCGATAACGAAAACGACTAGTAATTTTCGGTCGTTACTGAGTTCAAGTTACCGAATTCCAGGTTGTTTCGTTTCCACTGAACTGCCGATTAGGAGTGTGACAAAGGTAGTGGTTTTGTAGAAGAAAAGGAAGAGGAAGACAATTTGTTTATAACATTAAGGAAGTGTGAGAACAATAGTGATAAAAAAAAAGACAGGCAAATTAGGTTAACGTACTCTCCGTAATTGCCAAAATGTCAATCATTTGTTGCAGTTTCTACACCCTTTCTTATTGTGCATGAATTTTTTGTGCAATAATATTAGAAGCTCCTTTTATAAAAGGAATTTTTTCTTGAGTAATTACAGCTGATTTTTAAAAATAGTGAAAGCATTCTGTACTTACAAACTCTAAAGAATCTTCCGATGTATATAACTATCAAAACGTTCCAGAGTTACTAGTCACAACGAAACAGTTGTTCCGTTTTCCTGTCTTGTTGAATTCAGATTGCAGCCCCCAAGTAATCCTCACATTCTTTTTTCTCCCATTTCACAAATAACAGAATTTTCGCATTGGTAACAGATAAATGCAGACATGCACAAGAAAAAAATGCATCAAAACGCAAAAAATGTAACGTAAATAGAGAAAAGAAATTGGTGAATGTGGCACTTTTTGGGCTGCTATCTTAAGTACATCGGCATCTCATACTAGTATAGATTCCTCTCAAGCTTCATTTGTTTTCCACAAACAAGTAACCAGGCTCGCCAGTAACTACATGCTACTTCAGGTCGATAACTTCCATTTTTTGAAATAGTAAAAGCAAGAACAAATAATAGTTGCCGGCAGTATCAAAGAGCATTAATTTGCCAAAAATCGTTTCTAGCGTTACAACGCAATTTATCTCGGACGTCTCCTATCCAATATTCCATAGTCAGAGCTTGCATTGAAATATTCCGAAAAGAAAGCACAAATTTTTTTGCTTTCAACAAAATATTTTACCGTGGTGACCTAATTTATCAGGCCACCTCGTTAATGCGTTTTGTAATCGGTTTTGTTTTTGAAGACCCTAAATAAGACATCACAGAAGTTTATTTTAAGGGCGTGGTCAACAATCCTATATTTTAGTTTATATTGAAGAAATCTATGACCCAAAATAGTATAAATTTTTGGGCACGCAATGCATAAAGCCGCGGGGCAAATATATAAACTTTGTGAATGATGAGAAAGATGATCAGTGGACGAAAACACAGTTGTAGTTTCCACAGCCATGGAACTCAAGGAGAGCGATGAGCATCGTCAGATGAGGCGAGTAGCCTTCGTTGCAGTTGTGGTATCAACTGCTGCTGTTATTGCATCCATTGTGACTTTGCCGATGCTATACAACTACGTACAGTCGTTTCAGAGCCATTTGATCATTGAAACCGATTACTGCAAGGTCTTACTTTTTTCTTTGTCCATTCGTTAATTCACCACTTCTGTATATTAGTTTTTCAAACCAGTGATTCTCTTACTACGACAATTCCAGTAACTAGACCAAAAAAAAACAGCTTAACAACAGTATATGAAACCCGTAGTTTTCTTTATGTGACTTTTTTCTCAGTAATCTGAAATTCTAGTCACGAGCTCGTGATATGTGGCTTGAGATGACAGCTTTACAAGCCGGCAAGAGAGCTGCCGCTTCAAGAATGAAAAGAGGATGGCTTTTTGGTCAGTGGGTACCTGAAAAAGCAAGTAGTGGTGGGTACGGTGGAGACGGAAACACATATGTTCCTGCGTCTAGTTATGCTCCGGCGGTCGTTGCAGATGTCGAACAATCTTGTTGTACATGCAACCAAGTAAGTTGTTTTAAGAAACTCATTAGAAATCTAAGGTTAACGTTTGCTTTTATAGAAATTTTATTCTGTTTCAAATATTTAACGTTTCAGGGGCCCGCTGGCCCTCCGGGACCAGATGGTGAGCCTGGAGAAGATGGTAAAGACGGTGAAGACGGAAGCGATGGCAGGGATGGAAAAGATGCACAAG